TTTAGTCTGTTTTAAGGAGTCCTTTGCTATTAGCTTAGTGGGAGAGAGCGACTGAGAACCTGCGTTGTTGGCCTGCTGTCTTGAACCCGACCCCAAGGTTCTCTGGAGTCAGAAAGCTCTGGGTTTGCAGACATGAGGCACGGGTGAGCTCCCTGACATGGCCTCATCTGGGAGGCGGGGCAGAGAAGCCCTGCACTGCATGCATTTGGCGAGCCCGACACTAGCCCGCATGTGCGGAGGGACCGCCAGGACGCCTGCGCCGTGCTCAGTAATTGACACCTGCCATGGCTGCAAGTTCCTGCTGGTCTGGCTGTTTGTTTGTTCGCTTACTCACCCAGAGCCGGCTGAGTGCTGTGTATGTCACAGAATCCCTTAGTCTAAAGGGGACAGGAAGTCCGAACTCCCAGGGGGACCATCCTAGCGCGCGATCTCTAGGCTGGCAGTGTTCTTGGCAAGAAGCTACTTCTCACTTGGCCTCCCCGGGCCCCAGGATGTGGTCTTTTGCCGAGGCTGCTGAAACTCCAGCCCTGGCTTGTGGTCAGATGGCCTGGTGGAGAGTGTCCCTGAGCTGTGTGCCAGGGAGCCTCTGCGTTCGTGCTGAGGACACACTATTGTCCCTGATGGGAATGAGTGATGAGCTGAAGATTTCGGTAGAGCGAGGCCAAATCCCTGTGTGGCTCCAGGAACAAGGATAAATATAGCTGAGTAATTGCTCATGCTCTTTTAAGGATTAAAAGTCAGCTTTCGGGCTAGCTGTGAAGCTCCATGACCAGGACAGCAAGCAACACAGTTCCTTTTTTAGCGCTGTGGCCAGCACTCCCCGGGCATCGCTGGATCCTCAGCCTCCATGATGCTGGTCCCACTTGGGTAATGGGGTCGCCCTCATTAGATTCCGTACCACGAGGCCGGGGGTGGGTTTGAGGTGTTCCCTCCATATCCCATCAGCCAACACTGTATCTAGCTTACCAAAGGCACTCAATAAAAGCTTTTCCACCAATGAAGAAGCTGTGAAGTTGTATTTTTAGAATAACCTTTAGAAGGAGATCTGTAGTCTAGTTAACATGAAGTCCCACAGCCAATTTCCTGTTTTTGAAATGCATTGTATAAGAGCAATGTTAAGTTGTCACCAGTGGGGGAAGCTGGGTGAAGGGTACACGGGACCATCTGTACTGTGTTTGCGACTTCCTCTGTGTGTGTGTGTGTGTGTGTGTGTGTAATTATTCTAACATAAAAGATGAAAAAAAAAACAAACTTTTAGTTTGTGCTGGGAGGTTAAATCCTTACAGAGAGCAACACTTGTTTTCTTATTACTATTTTTTACAATTTATTTTTGTTTATTTAAAAGGGAGAAAGAGAGAGAAAGATCTTCCATTCACTGGTTCATTCCCCAAATGTCCACAATAGCCGGTGTTGAGCCAGGCCAAAGACAGGAGCCAGAACCTCACTGGAGCTTCTACATGGGCGGCAGGGACCCGAGTACTTGAGCCATCGCCAGCTGCATCCCGGGGTGCACGTTAACAGGAAGCTGGAATTGGAGGCGGGGCTGAGACTCACACCTGGGCACTGAGATGCAGGTGTATCGGGCAGTGGTTTAACTGCTGCACTGAAGCCCCGCCCCTTATTGTTACTGCTTTAAATATAAACACATACAGCATCCTTACAGTTGGAGACTTTAAATGTATGAACAAGGTAGAGAGTGGATACAAAGTCTTCACCCTAGCCACCTGGGTTGCCTCCCCAAGGCAGCTGTTAGTTCTTCACCTCTTGTGTTAATTTTAGTGGGAGTTGTGCACCCACACGTTTACTGAGTACGCGTGGATGACTGTCAGTATGCTCGTATGCACGGTTGAATGTAGTAGACACACGTACTCTTGTCACTCATGCGGCTGCTGCTGAGCTCCCACTCTGGCCTCTCTCTTCCCACGTGGACCGTATGTCCTGGAGGCTTTTCCTTGCAACACCCAGGGCTTCCTGCTGCTTTGTTGTGGCTGCTCCTGTCGTCTTTTACAGCCCCCAGTCTTGGGCATTTATGTTGCTCCCAATCCTTCTGCTTTAAGACAATGCCGCAGTGAATAATCTTGGCCATCTGTCATTTCCCGAGTGTGGGAGTTTGTTTGCAGAGTAAATTCCTAGAAGTGGAGTTGGGTCAAAGGGTATGAGCCTTATAATTTTGATCATGATAAATTGTCCTCTGTAGAGCTTGTGCCATTTCATACGCCCACCAGTAATGCGTTTCATAAAATACTTGTGTGAGTGTGGGTGTTTAAAAAGCTGTCTGGGGGCCAGCACTGGGTATAGTGGGTGGAGCTACTACCTGTGGCGCCTGCACCCAATATGTGTGCCAGTTCGATTCCCAGTTACTCCACTTCTGATCCAGCTCCCTGCTGGTGTGCTTGGGAAAGAGATAGAGGATGGACCAAGTGCTTGGGCTTCTGTACCTGTGTGGGGGACCCAGAGGAGGCTCCTGGCTCCTGTCTTTGGGTTGGCTCAGATCCAGTCATTGTGGTCATCTGGGGAATGAGCCATTGGATAGAAGATCTCTCTCTCTCTCTCTCTCTCTCTCTCTCTCTGATTCTGTCTTTCAAATAAATAATTTTTTTTAAGTTATTGGTGCCCGCTTTCTGAGTCTGGCTTCTATCCAAGAAAAACAGAAACCAGACCATGTTTTGCCTACAATTTCAGTTTGCTCAGGGCTGCTGAAGACCACCCATGAACCAAATGTTAAGACTGAAGGGGAGGTAGTGTGGTAGAGAAGGAAGAGCTGGCTGCAGGACAAAACCACCTAAATTCACACCTGTGTTCTTCTACTAAACGCCTGTGGGACATTGAGTCAGTCGTTTTCCTGCCTCAGTTTCCTTTTTGAAAAAAAAAAAAAAAAAGGCCTGACCATTGTATGACAGAGGGCATTTGTGAGAGGACACTCGTGCCTCTCTGTAAAGCACCTAAGATATGCTAGGAATAGAACAGGAGCTTAATAGTTGGGTTTGCACACATGCGCGCACACACACAAAGCTTTAGGTTCCATTGCAACTTCTGGTTTCTAGCGTCTGTCGTAACTGCTGCTGGAGTCACAAGACCACCTGCAGAGCTAAATCCCCCAAGTAGGCTCCTTAGAATACCACTTAAGACTCACCTGAGGGCTGTGATCAAACGCAAATTCCCAGGTCCCGACTCAGAGCCATGGACTTAGAATTTCCAGAAGAGTCTACAGAATTTCGTACTTGAGGGTTCCAGTGCACATGGAAGTTGGAGAAACAGTGCTAATAGGTTTGACAACTTCCTCCTAGTCACTATACTTGCAATTCTAGAAGTTTCCACAGTGGGCTTTTCAGTGGGGGCCCATATCTGGCAGATGCCCAGGTAAAGACGGACGCCCAAGGGAAAACATGGCAGGTGCCCAAGGCAGCCTCCTCTGGCTTCATTTCTAGAGATACAGTTATTCATGAAGGTAGCAGACAGTACACACTGAGATCCCACCCAGGGATCTCTCGCCTAACTACTGCAGAGGAGAGACTGCCAGTGCAGCTCATACCTCAGGGAGGTGCTACATGGGGGCCCAGAGGGCCAAGCTCCGTGGGAAACACCTGCCACAGCTGTGACCGCCTGTGGCCAGGGGCAGGGCTGGGGGGTGAGGGCTGTGCAGGTCCTGGTAGCCATCACAGGAAGGGCTGAGGCCACGGGCCTTGTAGCTCTAAGCCCAAGTACCCATGGCCATGCTGGTGAATGCTTGCTGGGGCTCCCGGATTTGGCAAATGAAAATACAGGATGCTCAGTTCAATGTGAATTACATTTAAACTTCAGATCAACAACACATCATCTTTTAGTGTATCCCGTGTGCTATTTGGGACAGAGCTACACTGAAATAGTTATGTGTTGTTTATCTGAAATTCCACTTTAGATCAGCAACACGTAATCTTTTAGCATATCTCATGTGCTATTTGGGACAGACTTACGCTGAAACAACACATTGTTTATCTGAAATTCCATTACACTGGGGGTAACAGAACAGGGCCTCTGTGCACCGCCTATAACCCCAGGAGGGGCGGGGCACCCATGTGGCTTGTCCTGAGCTCGGAGCTCCATGATCTTGGCTTTGGGTGGGCACTGAACGTGAGGTGGATGGACTGGGAGTCTGGACCGGGGGGTGGACCTCCAGGAGACAGGCAGCCAGCTCTTCTGGGCAGTTTCTGGCTGGGGCAGGATGCGGATCCCTGCTGAGGCAGCCCTTCTGAGAGGCTAGCACTGCACAGACATTGAGTGCTAGCTCATTCAGTCTCTCTAACAACCCTGTGCATTAGCCATTATCGCCACAATTCCCACTTTCGGGATGAGGAAAGTGAGACTCCACGGCATTAAGACTTTAGGGCTGGCCGGCGCCACAGCTCACTAGGCTAATCCTCCGCCTGCGGCGCCGGCACACTGGGTTCTAGTCCCGGTCGGGATGCCGGATTCTGTCCCGGTTGCCCCTCTTCCAGGCCAGCTCTCCGCTGTGGCCCGGGAGTGCAGTGGAAGATGGCCCAAGTACTTGGGCCCTGCACCCGCATGGGAGACCAGGAGAAGTACCTGGCTCCTGGCTTCGGATCAGCGCGGTGCGCCGGCCACTGGGGGGGGGGGGGAGGGGTGAACCAACGGCAAAGGAAGACCTTTCTCTCTGTCTCTCTCTCTCTCACTGTCCCCACCTGCCTGGGGAAAAAAAAAAAAAAAAAAAAAAAAAAAACTTTAGGGCTGTGAAGTAGAGAAGCGGGGATTGACACTCCTGGAGCTGGTGCCAGGTCTGGGATTAGTTAGATTTCCCAGGCTCTTCCCTTTGGCAATCTTAAGGGTGTAAGGTGGGGTATCCCCCACTCCCAGATCCCCAGGACAGGAACCAGCCCCAGTTTCTCCTGGCTCTGGGCCAGGGTTGCATCCAGGCTCACATGCTTGTGTGGAGACTCAGGGCTGGGAGGCAGATCTACAGAGTCCCCTTCGTCCCCGCCCAGCCCAGACAGTGTCCAGCAGAACAAGCTGCCCACGGACATTGCTATCTGCTAGGGGGTCCTGGGGGGAGGGGCTGTCTCACAGGCCCAGCCTGCCCTGACCCCCGAAGCTGACTGGTCGGCATCCCCTGCCCTCAGCCCCCTTGCACCAGGCCAGAGGGGGCTCCCAGAGGAGCTCTGCTCCAAGTCCCAGCCCCTCTCGGAGGAGGCGGGCGGCCAAGGCTCTGCAGCCAGAGGCTTCTCAGCTCGGAGCTCCGGAGCCAGATGTAGCATTGACCTTAAATGGTAAAAGCTCCCCAGAGTGAAGAGAGGCTGGCCAGAGGAGGAAGGGGGAATAACTCAGTTTTAGGTAAGTCGTCTAGATCCTAGAATAACCTGCCTTTGCAGCCCGGAGGGCCGCCACGGAGCCCTTCTCCTCCTTAAAGGTACAGGGTGCTGGGACGGGGGTGTGCGGCTGTTGGGTGGCACCTCGGCTGAGTGCTTTTACGGTTGCTGTCTCAAGTTTTATATATGAGTTGAATCTGGCTGGTGGTGAGGAGCTAAACGATGCCCCTTCCGTGGGCCGTGGGGACACAGGCACTGCCGCGGGGGGGCTATGTGGCCCCTTATTGCACATTCCCACCCCCTCGCTCTCCTGTGGGCCTCTCGCTGGCCACAGAGGGGTCCTTGGATTACGCAAGCCTGCCCAGAAAGGGCCGTCTCCCCTCTTTGCTGCCTGTCTCTCTCTCTCTCTGGCCCTCAGCATGGCCTGCCTGGAGCCCTTTGCTGGCTCAGCCTGTCTCTGTCTCTGCCCCTGCTCCCCTGTTGTGTGTTCCAGCCCAGCCCAGCCTCTGCTTCCACTCGTGTCTCTGTCTCTCCTTTCACCTGCAGCTTCTCTCCTGGCACCTGTGCCTGAGCCCTGCTCCTCAGAAGGGGTGCCTGGGGCCCAGCCCTGCCCACCTTCAGGGGCCGCAAGTTGAATCTTTTCCTAGAGAGAGTGGTCCCCGTGCTGGCTTTGTCCAAGGGAACAGCTGGTGAAGCCAGAGACCAGAGGGAGGCTCTGCTGTCCTGCTCCCTCCTGCCCTGTAAACAGTTGTAAAAGTCTGGAGAGCCTCAGCGGTTGGAGTAAACAGTGGGCTCTGGGACCCCTGGCCGGTGTTCCCGCCTCCTGGGGTGCCAGTGGCTGGGCTGGTGGGGGCGGGAGGCGAGTGGCCCCAGGCTGGGCTGGGCTGAGCTGGGGGTTTTGCAGGGGGCAGGAAGACGTTTTCCCGGGGCTGCAGGGCTGGGCGGCTGCCCAGGTTTCTCTTGCCCCTTCCCCTGCCCCTGCCCCCCACCCCGGGGTGACGGTGGGTGGGCAGCTGATGACATGCAAGTGAAGTGGGGAGAGGCATCCCCCCACCCAACACTTTTAGGCAGGAGGAAACTCAGGAGGAAACTTAACAGTGATTTGCCTATGGTCAAGGCTCCCCCCCAAAAAGGGCCAGAGCTAGGACTCGAACCTGGGTCTGTGTGACTCTGACTCCACGCTCCTGCCCCTCAGTGCAACTGTGAGTGTGGGGACACACTCCTACCTCTAAGAAAGGCTTGTGATTTTTGGCCATGGTCCCGACAGTTGTCACGGGCATATGTGAGTATGTGTGTGTGTTGGGTGGCTCTTTGCGTTCCCCAGCACTGGGCCTTCCTCTAGGCTTGGGAAGGTGGGCATTCCTGCATCCCCTCTAGGGCCACCTGGGAGGAAGAACTATGAGCTAACGGCCACGCCATGATCAACTCTCCCCATTGTCATGCTTCCTGCAGGACCAAAAGCGAACGTGTGGTTGTTTTCACACCCGCACACTGCTCTAGGCGCTCCCCCCACAGGAACATAGCATGGGCCCCCGGAGCAGGGATGCTGTGGGCGTCCTCCCCTCGCAGTACAGGCAGGGCACATAGCTGGCATTTGACTCCAGGAGGCCCGGCTCTGTCTTCACCTTCGGGCCCTGGGCCCCTCTCTGGGCGCCACGTCTGAGAGGACGGGGGGTTAGGAGCATCAGCAGAGCGCGAGAGACCTGCCTGCACCTGAACAGTGCAGTGGAGGCCTCTGGAGCTGGGCAGTGTTAATGACTTGTCCACACGCACTCAGCCACCAAGTCACAGAGCAGGGGGCTTGATTAATATCTTGGGTAAGGATGGTGGGGTCCATGCAACACTTTCTATTGAGAACTGAATTCCCAGGGAAGTTGGGTGCTCCTCGTTTTGGGGCGCCAGGTTCTGTGAATGTTGGATAGGAAGCCGGAATCCTTGCTGGATGGGCTGAGCTACTGGGAACAGGTTCTCAGCCTTGCTAACGGCCCCACCTTCCTCTAAGGCTTCTCAGCAAAGGCAGGCGGGTGGACATGTCCTGACCAGCAGACGTGGAGGCTGAGCCCCACCTGACTCTCCACTGTGTGTCCAGCTCCCAGAATGCTGCTGGGAGCTCACTAACTGCTTGCAATCAATTTTTTTGTAAAGCGAATAAATGGACATAATGCTCCAAAAGTATGCTCTGGTTCCACAGGCCCCTGGGTTTATTACATCCATGTTCCTGGTGATCAGATGTGTTCAGTCTGGCTTGAGAGAGTGCAGGGATGGGCTCAAGTTATCCACGCCTTCCCACCCCACCATGCCTCCTGGGGAGTCCCTTCCCAGAGCCTCTGGGCTGCCCCTCACCCATCCTCTCTGGGGCTTGGCTGTCCGCAGAGGGATCCTGTTTGCTGAAGGGCGGCAGCTATAGCCCAGGTGGACAGAGGGGATGGCTTGGAGGCCCAGCCTGGCCCCTGCCCCTGCCCCTGCCCCTGCCCCTCAGGGAGAGTGATTGAAATGGTGTGCAAAAGTGAAGAGGGGAGGAAATGAAGGTGCACTGAGCTTTCCTACTCCGCACCAGGATCTCTGCTGGCACGACTGTCCATGCCACCGCTCGTGTTAGGGATAAAGACCTATGGCCCAGAGAGGACATGGCTGGGAGGTGGCGAGCAGAGAGTCCAGCTGAGGCTGCTCCCAAGGTGGGCACTTCCTGGGTCAGATGTCACCCTGTCTCTCTCAATAACTCAGGTCCCAGGGCAGCTAGTGGGTGCCCCAGTACAAATCAGAGGCAAATCAAGAGTAGAGGGGAAGGGAAAGCCTGAGGCAGCCCTGAGCCGGGGAACGACGCAGCTCCCTGCCCAGGCCAGTGCCACCGGATGGCCCTGCACACCCAGAGCCTCAGCTGAGGCAACGCACGCCCTTGACCTTGGACTAGCCCCACCTTCTCCAGGGAAGACTGAATGCAGGTGACAGTTCAGATAGAAACCTTCTTTCCCAGCCAGCCCCAGATGTGCAAAAAGAAAAAAAGCATGCTAAGGCCCAGCTCAATCACTTTCTTCCTATTACTTTTTTATATATAATTTCTGTCCATTTTGGGGGGGGGTACATAAAAGTAGAAAATGCTCCTTGCTAAACTTTCTTGAAAAATAAATGAATATACATAAGAAATTCAGAAATAAACATAATGAAGTTAAAAAAGTAATTCAAGAAATCTCGTGACTCAGAGATAAATATTATTTATTTATATCTGATGTGGTTCTTTAGATTTCTCTGCATTTTATAAAACTAAGGTCTTAGTGGAAATGTGATTTTGTAGTTTGCTTCTTTTAACCCAATGTTCTATCATTATCATTTTCCCTATCAGTAAGAATTCTTCAAAACATATTTTTTCCATGATTAGATAATGATACACTGTAATTTTAGCTGCGCAATGGTCAAATCGTCGTTCCGCTCCTCGGGCAGTTGCAAATGTGGTTTTCCTTTGGGGACTGTCTCAGAGGCACACAGGACGCGCTGGCCTTTCCCTAGAGGCCCAGCTCCCAGAGGGGGCGGCGTGCAGTATGGCCGGAGTTGCGGGCTTGTGTATGAGCAGGCGCTGACCCGGCTTCCCACACCAAAACCCGCGGTAAGAACAGCATTTCTTCGTGAGTTCTTTCCAGTCCTCTGGGTCAAGGAGAGAGCTCCTATGGGAGGAGGGAGACCAGCTGTCCAGGTGTGTCCAGGAATGGTTGCCACAGAGCTCCCAGGCTAAAGCTGTGACAGTCCTGTGCAAACCGCAGAGCTGGTCACCTCGCTGGAGCTGGCGTTCCTTCAATACACTTCTTTCCTTTTTTTTTTAATAAGCTTTTTTTTAAAAAGATTTATTTATTTATTTATTTGAAAGGCAGAGTTATAGAAAGAGAGGATATCTTCTATCCACTTGTTCATTCCCCAACTGGTTGCAGCTGCCGGAGTTGGGCTGATCTGGAGTCAGGAGCCAGGAGCTTGTTCCAGGGTTCCTGGGGTCCAAGGACTTGGGCCATCTTTTTGCTGCCTTCCCAGGGCATTAGCAGGGAGCTGGATCAGAAGAGGAGCAGCTGCGACTCAAACCAGCACCCACCTGAGATGCCGGCACTGCGGGTAGTGGCTCCACCTGCTCTGCCACACATTTCTCCTCTCCCTTCCTTTTTGTAAAATTAATTTTAAAAAAGCTGTGTCGGGGGAGGGGGAGAGAACAAACACACCCCCATCTGGTAGCTCTTTCTGCAGTGTCCACAGTGGCCAGGACTGGGCCATGCAGAAGCGGTGAGCTGGGGACTCAGTCTGGGTCTCCTGCTTGAGGGGCAGGAACCCAATTACATGAGCCGTCACCTGCTGCCTCCCAGGGTGCCCATGCAGAGGAAGCTGGAGTCAGGAGCTGGCGCTGGGAACTGAACTAGGAACTCCCTTGAGGGGTGCGGGCGTCTTCACCGCGAGGCTGAACGTCTGCTCTGTTTCCCTTCTTGACAAAATGAGAGCAAGCTGTGGACAGGGAGCCTTTGGTATGCAACAGCTAGAATTGAATAACTGTTTTCATTTCATTTATTTTTCCCATAAATCTCTATTTGTGGTCAGTAGTGCTGATTTTTCCATTTTAGGTAGGAATATAAAATTTCCCTTTTAAATAAATATAGTGACAATAGCAGCTAACAGTTACTGAGCACTTGCGGCCTGCTCGGTGCCGTCCGATCGCTTTCCCTGCAGCAGTGCCTCTGGTCCTCCCAGCAGTGCTTGGAAGCAGCTCCAGCTGCTCTCCTGGTTTTACAGACGAGGCACAGAGAGGGTCGGGACTTGCCCAGCCGCACCAAGCTGGCACATGGCAGAGCCAGGAGCGCAGTCTCGGCCTGCTGGGTCATTGCTCGTCCAGTTAAATATTAAGTAAGCTGCTGTCTAGGTAGAATGCAGACAGGCTAGTGTGCCAGTGACAAAGCGACAGCTGGGGCATCAGGGAACACAGGGCATGGTGAAGCTGAGCCACCCCCGCAAAACCAGGGGCACGTGGGCTGGAGGGAGGAGCTTGGAGGGCTAAGA